GGTTTGATGTCCCTGAGTCTCAGTATAGCTTACTCAGCATGTCATAAACAGTTAAAGTTTCAGTGTTCATAATCAGTTCAAGAATATATGTCTCAGTGCAATCTTATTCAGTATTATGTAACTCAGTGTGGTTCAGTATTCCAGTATTATGTAACTCAGTGTGATCCAGTATTCCAATATTATGTAACTCAGTGTGATCCAGTATTCTAGTATCATGTAACTCAGTGTGATTCAGTATTTCATTTCACTATCATGTATTGCAGTATGATTCTCAGTTCCTGACTTAAAATCCCTGAATGTTGAACACCTGTATTTGGGCCTGAGGCCGCAGTTTATGCTTTATGCATCTTTGGGCCTGAGGCCGCAGTTTATGCTTTAAGCATTTTGGACCTGAGGTCGCAGTTATGTATACGTATACTTGGGCCCGAGGCCGCAGTTGTGCACATATATATATATATATATTGGGCCTGAGGCCGCAGTTTAATATTCAGAAAAACAGGTTGTTCATCATTCAGAAGAGGGAGTATTCATATCCTTACTTCCTTTGTTCAGTTCAGTTATCAGTTACCATTTCAGTTATCAGCTATCAGTTATTAGCTATCAGTTATCATTTCAGTTTCAGTTTCAACAGTTATCATTTCAGTTATCAATTCTCAGTTATCAGCTTCGTTTTAGTTTCAACATTTATAAATCTTTCTTTCAGTTGCTTTACATACCAGTGAAATTCAAATGTACTGACATCCCTTTTGCCCGGGGCCTGCATCTCACAATGCAGGTAATAATTTACAGGTTAATGATTCAGAGCGCTAGGATTCTCGTACCAGCTATTTGGTGATCCCCAGTTCTTTCGGGGCATTATCATTACTTTACAGCCTTTCAGTATTTATAGATAGTTAGTGTTTTCAGTACTTCAATAGAGGCTTCGTAGACTAGAGTAACAGTTAGACAAAGTCACAGGCTTTTCATATTAAGCTATGTTGGCTACAAATATGTTTCAGAATTGTATTAGTATTTCCGCATTTTGATTTATATCATCCACACTTTCAGTATATCAACATGTTTTAGTTTTTCTTCTGCATTCAGTATGTTATGATACCACATGTTGATTCAGCCAGCCAGTTGGTTCGCTCGGTCACATGTAGTCAGGCACCGAGTGCCGTGTTACGCCCAGGCCCAGGTTCGGGGCGTGACAATATTTTCTGCCTAAAAACAACTAACAAGAAAAAAAAACAAATTCTAAAAAAAAAAACTAATTCTTAAGACAAATAACTAAAACAATTAGCTAAAACGACACTCACTACAATAACGAAAACAACTAACAACTACTAATTTCTACAAGTTCCTACCCCACACTTAAATCATACATTGTCCTTAGTGCATGCACAATTTGACAAAACAAGAAAGGAAAAGAGTAGGGTGCGAGAAAACTCCCCGATCAAGCAGCGTCTTCATCCTCTGACGCTTTCCACTCTTCATCATGTTCGTCCTCCTCCTCCTCCTCATCTCCCTCACCATCCGATTGCTCAGGCTCAGCCTCAGACTGCTTAGGTGTGTTGTATCCTCATAATCGGGGAGTCTATATCCATCTCCTAACCTAACCAGCTGCTGGGCATGAGCATTGAGCGGGTTTCAGTGCTCCAATTCTGTCCTCTCCTCAGATGTGGTCGGGCAACCCCCTATCCGCAGCTGCAAATCCATCATCCCATAGAGATGGGCCATAAAACTGTCATTGCTCTCAGCACCTGTCACTGATGGCTTGGCAGACTCGTCTTTCAGCCGGAGATTTGTGATGTCCGTTTGTCGGATGGGCTGATCGATGGTGTGGTCAAATTCAGGCTCCTCCTCAACCCCCTCGTGCTTTAAGAATTGAGTCAAGAAATTGGCAAATAGCATTCAATCTATTTTCTTACTCGTTCTCACTGATGACATTTGGTAGCGGATCAGATGACCTACATTCACCCTCTGACCTGTCATAAGGAAGTATAACACACAGGTCCTCTCACGGCTCACGAGCGTGTCATGATTGCACGGTAGGAGCCGTGCGTTTATCAGTTTAAGCCACACCTGAGCCTCTCCCTTCATCTTCTTCTTAGGGAATCTCTTGTGACGGTTTGTTACCTTATCCCAAACCCACGCAGCCGTAGAGTCGACATCACAGAGCATGTGCCTCAGCTCTCTATATGTAGGCCGACGAATGAACTGATCCAATGGCTCCACCGGAACATTTGGTGCACCTGAAAAATCGCATATAGCCGTGGCTGAAAAATCTATCAAACGTCCACAAATTGGCACCAACTGCTCAGTGTCATGTGGGTCAAACCCCTGCATAGAAATTCCGGAATTAGGTTG